TGGAGATTCAAATGCAAACCACTGCTTATGAACTAGCGCCCAGGGCAATTTTGGACTTTTAGCTGCATTTTGGCCTCTAAAACATCTTATTAAGATTTGGTTCATACTTAAGAAAGAGACATGGTAAGATGAAACTTTTTTAAGCTGTAAGTTGTGTCGCTCAGCTTGGCTTCTGCCATCCCAGCTAAGAAGCAAATCACAGTTTTCCTACCACATCCCTCCTACGCCCAGTCAAATCCCAGTGCAAGAAGAAATGACACCAGCTTGCAGTGGTCAGAGCCTGGGACCAGCCATTCCTGGCCCCAAGACAGACAGAAAGCTCTGTTCAGTCCCCAGGGTTGAAAGGTCTGTCCTTCCGTCTGTGTTTCAGCTGATAGTTTTCTAGAATGAGATTGCACACCAAAGTTCCTCCTTGGGTAAACGAATGGGTGTCAGGACAAGGTACAAGAACCACACCCTGCACTGTGGGCAGTCACTGCCCTCCCAAGTCAGCCTGCACCTGTACCCCCTAACAATCCTGCATTCTGGTCTCTGGTCTCTGCTCTCACCTGCGATATTGTTCCACTCTTTCAAAAACAGGACTCTGATTACATTGGCGGCAGTGAGCAGTAACTTTGTGTCACACATCTGCAGCAGCAAGAGAGTGTAATTTGCCTTAGTCCGATGGGTGCTGTTGCCAAACCAGTACAGGATTTCCTTCATCTTCTGCTCCACTGTTTCATCTAACATCTGGGTCAAGGAGGACTTCACAATCTTCTCCTCCTTCCCCTCCTTCCTGCTGTATTTGATCCTGGACCTGTTATAGATGAAATCCTTCCCCTGGGTGGTCTGTAGGATATTCTGGAAATAGCGTAACAAATACAGGCTATTTAACTGCCCCAGGATGCTGACTAGAAACCTCCTCTGGGATATGTCACTGACCCTCCGGAACCACTCTTTGGTAGCAAAGATCTTCCATGCTAAGACACAGGTTTCACACTTCTGGCACACAGGAACCCAGTCGAGTCCGCTTTCACAACGAAAAAAGGGGGCCTGCTTAATTCTTGGTTCCATGTTTTCCATAACTCTCAGATGACCAGTTCATTTCACCTTGCCCGTTAGCAACACCACCAAACACCGGAGGGAAAGGGTAAGCAGAAAAATAGCCTTTTTGGATCCTCTTCGTGATAAACATCTGGAGAAAACAGAAGCCACTGCGATGGATGGTAAACTGGTCTGACCCAGAAACTGCCTGTAGAAGTCTGGCTTTTTGTACTGACCTCCTTGGAAACATTGTTTTACCGTAAATCTTCTAAGACTGGCACTGCAAAAGTAGAGACAGTTGCTGTATATTCTGGAAGAGCTGCTCATCTCATTTCTAGAGCAGATATGCCCTTAACCAAACATAAAATATACACAGCTCCTTTTAAAAATAAAAATGTCTGGAGCTCTCAGTTGTTGTTATTAAGAGCTCTTAAAGAGCTCTTAAATATTCACAAATATAAACTTAGATGTAACATCTGTAGCCTTTAGATGGGCTGATCCAGTATACTGCAAGTTGTGGCCACAGTAAATGCACAAATGTTTAACATAAATGTAAGTTATTTTATTACTTCTCGGTACTAGACAGAAATCTTCAGGGAACCACTGTCTGGTCCAGAAGTTTCACTTGTCTCAAGGATATGTCGGGAGTTGATGTTTAGCCTCAGTCACGTGCCCACCATGTAGTTGGGAGGTAGTGTGGGCTTGGTAATGAAGATAGTGAAATCGGGGGTAGGACTTCAGAGACTGGGTCCCAGCCCAGCTGCTGCTTGCTCTGTGGACTCCACTAGGTTGTTTATCTTCAGTTTCCTCATCTGAAAGTGGAGACAGTGATGGTTTCTACTTCACAGAGGTGTGAGGAGGATTGAGTGAGCTACTGTACACACAACACTTAAAAGACTGCTCAGCAATTAACATTGCCCTCAGTACACACTAACTATCACCCTATTGTCGTTGTCATCATTGCAGGATGTTTATCCATGGGAGATACAGTCTGAGACCCCAGTGGATAGCAAAAGCCACAAGAAAACATCAAACCCTGAATAATGTGTTTTCCTACACACACACATACCAGTGATAAAATTTAATAAATAAGGCTGAATTAGAAAAGTGCAACAATAATTGTCTTGGTGAGGGTTTCGATTGCTGTACTAAAACACCATCAAGAAAAGCAACTTGGAGAGGAAAGTTTCTTTTGCTTACACTTCCACACCACAGTTCAGCATTAAAGGAAGTTGGGGCCAGAACCTGGAGGCAGGATAACATGGAGGGACACTGCTTACTGGCTTGCTCTCATGACTTGCTCAGCCTGCTTTATTATACAACCTAGGACCAGCTGCCCAGGGAAGGCACCACGCACAGTGAGCTGTCCCCTCCCACATCAATCATCAGTCAAGAAAATACCCCAGTACAAACCAC